TATGTCTCATTATGAGACTGTTGTAAGAGTATTATAAGATTATTTAACTCATTTCTTATGTCTTTTTACTTGTATTAAGTTATTGTATCTAGTGAAAGTGTCTTATTCCATTGGCAGATAATCTTGCTTGTTTTAAACATTACTTCATGTGATAAGCATTTCTTTCCTTATTATTTCTCAATACAAGAAATTATCTGCCACTTTCACTACATACAATTACTGAGAACACGTAAAAATGATATATGAGCAAGTGAAAACACCTTAAATGTCAGTCATACATCTAATGTTTCTCATTATGAGTCTGTTGTAAGAATATCATAAGATTATTCCACCTGTTTCTATACATTTTTACTTGTTTTAAGCAATATTTCTTAAAATAATGCTTCAATATTTCTCAAAACAAGAAATGATCTGTTACTGTACACTACATATAATTACATAAAACAGTAAAATTGTGTAGAAACTGGTGGAATAATCTTATAATATTCTTACAACAGACTCATAATGAGAAATATTATATATATTAACTACATTTGACATGTTTTTACTTGCATATATATATATATATATATATATATATATATATATATATATGTATGTATATATATATATATATATTTTGCAGTGTAATAGAAATATTTAGCAGATTGAAGATGCTTTTTCCTGCCATGTTGTCATTTATTGCAATAACTTATTGCAATAAAAATATTGATTATTTTACAAAAGCTATGAATGTGTCTCAGCCAGATGTATACACTGCAAAAAATCTTATCTTAGCAAGTAAAAACATTTTAAATGTGGTTAATATTTCCAAAATGTCTAATATTACACATTACAATGTTGTTATAATCTTGTTATATTAGAGAAATATTAGATATATTAACTACAATTAAGATGCTTTCACTCACTAAGACATCATTTTTAACGTATAACAGATTCTAACCTGGTGACTCCATGCTGCTTTTTGTTTGTCTGTTGTTTATTTGTTTGTTTGTTTGTTTTTCACTTTCTGCTGACACGTTAAGGCTCTTTGATGTTTGCTAAACCCTTTCACGGCTGCATTGTTTCAGCTGAGTCGTGTTTGTCTGAGTCCATATCTCGCGGCTCGTTTTGGTCGAGGATGCGCAGCAGTTATTGTCTCTGTCTCGCAGGGCTGGGGGTCCGGCAGCGCGGAAGCTGGCTCAGGTAGATAAAATCCCCCTCCCCTGCCCTCGCTGAGTGTCACAGTCAATGCTGCGAGCACTTCGCTCTCAAATTAGCTCAGTGACTCATGACGGATGCACTCGTTCACTCTGTATGTGCAGCGCAGCCCCCCGTCGGCCTGTTGACTCTGCTGCTTTTACTGACTGCCCTCAGGCCCCCTGTTCCACAGCGCTGAACAGCGGCGAGCAGCGCAGGACGGAGAGAGACTCCAGCTTTAAAGCTCCCTTTACTGCTACAAGGCCACAGCACTGGAGTCAGCTGTAACCCTATGGAACCGAGCGTCTCCTGGTGATCCGTTCTGAAAATGCAGTGTTTTAGCTCTCAGCTCGGAGGAGTTACGGCACGTGCCACATTGTGCAGAATCCAGGGATGTTCACACTTAAAAAATAGGTTCTTCAGGGCTCTTGAGTAAAGAAAATGGTTCTATATATAACCATGAACACCCAAAGAATAATGTGCATGACTTAAGCGTTCTTTGCATGGTGAAATGGTTCTTCAGATTGATGGAGAAGGTGCTGTAGATGGTTCCATATATCACCAAAAAGCTTTCTTCTGCTGTTAAAAGCTTGACATCATTACAATAGCAGAATCCTTTTGGGTGCTATACAGAACCCTTTACAACAAGGTTCTATATAGAACCATCTATAGCACATTCTTCAATCTGAAAAACCATTTTGTGATGCAAAGAGGCTTTTAACCATGCAAAGGGTTCTTTGAGTGTTCATGGTTCTATACAGAAGCATTTTCTTTACTAAGGAACGCTTGAAGAACCATCTTTTTTAAGAGTGTGGGAGGGTGTTTTAAGTTAGGGGTGCTGAAATTTTAAACAGTATATACGTGACTTGCAGGGTGAGGTGATGCAAAATGATTTAACCCCTTAACAATCCATGTTTATTTCATACTAAGGCTTATTATTCAGTAACTACAGGGACTTCAGTGCAAACTAAAGGAGCTATTCTTAGGTTATAGAAGCGTGTAATAAAACTCTGGGCCAGCCGGTGCATCCAAATGTGGCGAGAGACGACAATATAGACACATAAGTGACCTGATACACTCTGACTCAAGCTTTATGCAAATGAGTTGAGTGGCGTCCAATCAGATTCTTGACCTGTGGCGAGGTAATCAGTGTCTGAAACCCCCCCTGGTATCCAGAAGTCCCATGTTGGCTGCTAACTCTCTCCATAGCGCCGCTGACGCTTCAATGTCAGTAAATGTCTGTTTATCAGCTGTTCTTCTGTAGAGTCTCTGTTCTAGTGCGGTTCTGCGCTCTTCCTCACAGTAACTGAGATCTTCCTCGTCTCCTCTTCTGTAGAGTCTCTGTTCTAGTGCGGTTCTGCGCTCTTCCTCACAGTAACTGAGATCTTCCTCGTCTCCTCTTCTGTCTTCAGTGTGAGAAATGAGGAACAGTCACTCTTCACTCCAAACTCTTGGGAAACTGGGCGAGTTTTCAGATTTACAGATCTGCTGCAGCTCATTGTAAAGTGTTTCAGAGGAATCCGGGCAGAGTTACAGTTTCTAGGCTATGAAGGACCAACTGGGTGAACCGGTCTGCTACAGCGCCACCCTGAGGCAGAGCAGTGCTGCAGCTCCAGTTAGTTAAGAACACCAAAGACAGAAGCTGATTGTGGGTGAACAATAACAGCATAGCACCACAAGTTTATTTTCAGGGACCCCTCAGAATTTTCATTTTAAGAGATTCATGGGTTCCAAGACTTTTATTAAGGGTCCTGGATTCAAATGAGCAGGAGATATAACAGTTGATAAAAATGAATATCTTCAAAGCGCAGTACCTGTTTTTTTAAGCTTTGAAAAACAATATAAGTCTGCTTTGGGATTCAGAACTGGCCCACAGCTCTGCACACAATGGCCTTCTGTGCCCCTTAACCTGCATGTTTTAGCTATGAGCCCCCAAAGCAGCCAACAGTTGATGAGGGCAGCGGTTCAGCTCGCTTTAATGAAATACACTTGATATTATTTGCACCACATGTAATTTGGTAAGCACCAGATAGCCTTTGGTGAGCACCAGATACTGTTTGGTGAGCACCTAATACTTTTTGGTAAGCACTTTATACTATTTGATAAGCACCTGGTACTATTTGATGTGCACCTGAAACATTTTGGTAAGCACCTGATACTATTTGGCTGATACTACTTTGATTTTGTACCTGATACTATTGAGTCAGCACTGCATACCATTTGGTGAGCACCAGATACTATTTTGTGAACACCAGATACTATATAATGAGCATCTATTACTTTTTGGTAAGCACCCAATACTATATGCAAGCACCTAATACTACTTGGTAAGCACCTGATACTATTTGATAAGCACCAGATACCATTTGGTAAGCACAAGGTACTATTTGGTGAGCACCTAATACTATTTGGTGCACACTTAATACTCTGTGAGCACCTAAAACTTTTTGGTAAGCACCTGATACCATTTGGTAAGCACTTGAAATTATTTGGAAAGCACCTAATACTTTTTGGCAAGCACCCAATACCATATTCAAGCACCTGATTCTATTTAGGAATCACTAGATACTATTTGCAAGCACTGGCTACTATTTGGTGAGTACCAGATACTATTTGGTAAGCACCTAATATTATTTGGTGGGCACCAGATACTATTTGCTGAGCACCTGATACTATTTGGTAAGCAACTTATACTTTTTTGTAAGCACACAATACTATATGCAAGCACCTGATACTACTTAGTAAGCACATGATACTATTTGGTAAGCACAAGGGACTATTTGGTAAGGACCTCATATTATTTGGTGCACACCTAATTATCTGTGAGCACCTGAAACTTTTTGGTAAACACCTGATACTATTTGGTAAGCACTTTAAATTATTTAGAAAGCACCTAATACTTTTTGGTAAGCACCCAATACCATATGCAAGCACCAGGTACTACTTGGTGAGTACCAGAAACTATCTGGTAAACACTTAATACTTTTTGGTGAGCAGCAGATACTATTTGGTAAGCACCTAATACTATTTGGTAAGCACCTGAAATTATTTAGAAAGCAGCTGATACTATTTGGTAAGCACCACATACCGTTTGGTGAGCACCTGATACTATTTGGTGAGTACCCAATACTATATGCAAGCACCTGATACTATTTGGTAAGCACCACATACCGTTTGGTGAGCACCTAATACTCTGTGAGCACTTGAAACTTTTTGGTAAGCACCCAATACAATATGCAAGCACCTGATACTCTTTGGTAAGCACCCAATAGTATTTGGTGTGTACCTGATACTATGTGGTAAGCACCTGAGACTATTTGGTGAGCACCTGATACTATTTGCTAAGCACCTGATACTATTTGGTGAGTACCAGATACAATCTTTCACTTTTTAACTCTTTTGCACAGCACTGTTTGTCGCTTTTGGATGGCGTAGCACTGATGAAGTGTCACAGGTTTACAGTCATTCTCTCTAATGTCTTCATACCCCCTAATTTTGAAGGGGTCCTTAAGACCAGAAAAGGGGGCGACGAGTGTGATGAAGTCCTAATGTGATCCGAACCCCCGGCTGAAAGCTTTGAGAAGACGACACATTGTTCTCAGAACTTGCTTATGCATGTAAAAGCCTTGCGGAAAACCTGTCACTTCACAAGAGCGGGAAGCGTATTCCATACATCCTGGACTCTGTTCAAGAAGCTTTTGCCTCATCTGTCTTTTCGTCACACGTTCTTTAGACGTAAAAGCCTTTTAGGACCTCAGAGGCAGCGAGACTGCGAGCGCGGTGGGAACGCTTTCGCTGCTTCTGTCTCTCAGTGGTCTTACCTGTGCACTTTTTAGGGCTGCCGGGCCTTTTGCCATGCATGCCGAGCTTGCAGTTGAAGTTCTCCTCCCAGAATTCTGCGAACCACACGTTCCTCCTGTTGTTGGAGAGCGAGCGGCTGCGGAAGTAGCGGTCGAAGGCTGTGGAGAGAGGAGAGCGGGTGGTTACTTCACTGCACAGGATAACAGCTAACGTGGCTGAATAAACTGAGTGGAATCAGTGTGGGTCAGGTCCAAAGAGCTTCATTAATCCGACAGTGACTGTCGTTACGAGCGATTAGGTGCGCTGCTCTCGCTCAGCGCTCTGATATACTGCTCACCTTTACTGAGTTAATTAGGGTTTAGGCAACATGCCATGCAGTGTGACTCTGAGTGAAGCTCATAAAAATGTTTTGGTTTGTTTTTCTTTCACTTTTTTAATTCCCAAGAAAAGCCTCCCAGCAGCAGAAGAACTTCAGCATACGGTGCTCATATAAATCGCCCTCTATAAGTACTGGGACAGTCCAAATTCTTATTTTTTCAAAAAATATTTTGGTTATGAAAAACGTCGAGAGAGTGATCGCTTGCCTTGTTTTCCCTTTTATACAGAAACCTTGAAGGGAAAGATAAAAAGACTTGAAAACACGTTCCTGAAAGTGTGTTCTTTATTTCTTCTGCCCGTATAAAATACCCAAAAAATATCTGAAAAGTTCATTTTTAGAAAAACAGATAAGTCCATTTTAATGAATTTTCATTAATCATGATGTTTTTATTGTGTATTCCAGGTAATATCAATCAAACTGCAGTTCGGTTGTTTTGATTAAGTAAAAATAAGAAAATACAGGTAACTCACAAATTTCAACTTTTCAATTTTCAAATATATATATATTTTTTAATTAAATTTTAAATTGTGTCACCTAGTGATCTTAACCATAACAGAACAAGATCTTTCTTAAAAATCCAACCATCTGCCGTCTTTTATGACCAGAGGCTCAATTAACTTAGCCTTAATACGGGGCTTTATGTGTACACTTACATCACATGTGGAGCAACAAAACTTTACCTTACGCAGCTTAAACACAGCATAATATTAGGCTTTAGGCTGAAATAAACTTTAGTTTTGGAACGTATCCCTGCTGAAAAACCCATAGAAGCAATTAGGCATTTCTGTTGGTTTCTGATGGTTTTGTAGTGTGTTTTAGTTCATGGTTTAACTGGTTACCAGTGGTTGATTCGTATATTGGTAATGATATCCCTTCCTAAATGGTGATATGCACGGTTACACATACAACCAGCACAAACAGTCACTGTTTACATCAAAAACGTTATAAATGAGCAGACTGGCCACTGAAATATGAACGGGGCTCGTAACGCTCAACTTTCCTATAAGGATTTTCGGTAACACTTTCTATGAATGTCACCTTTGTAAGCATCTATAAACACATTTATAACATGTTATAATGTATTCATACAGCATTATAAACATGGTTATACATATTTATAAAAAAGAATTACACTGAATTACACTTTATAGCCATGTTTATTATACATTATGAATTGTTAATATAATGCATTATAAATAGTGTTAATAACATGTTATAATGTCAGTGCCAAAGAAGTCAGTCCCAGCTTGGAGAGCGTAAAGTAAAGACAAATACCAAGCTAACGGTGGTGAACATTACCTTTCCCACATTGGGTAAAACACTGATGGCAGCTCTAGTTTAAACTCTGACATTTGAAGCCTGTAATGTGCTTTACTGTGAATGTTTTAGTGTTTCAGTAAATCCTTCAGTAAATACTTCAACTTGAAGCCTCACTCTGAACACTGGAGGAGGCTTTAGTACAGTACGCTTCACTTTACTTAGAGCGGACAAATACCACTTATGAGCTCTTATAATCTGTTATGATCAGTACTTATAATGTATTATGTTAACAATTCATAATGCATAATAAGCGTGGCTATAATGTATAATGCATTTTTCTAAATAGTTATAGCTATGTTTATAATGTCTTATGCATGCATTATAACATGTTATGAATGCGTTTATAGATGCTTACAAAGGTGACATTCATAGAAAGTGTTACCGGATTTTCTTTACATGGCACAAACGCACTGTCCTGCTGCTCATGCGTTCCACCGGCCTGAAACCGCTGGAGCGAAACTGCGGTTGTAGATCGGCGGCTCTGCAGCTCTGCAGTCAGATCCTTCTTAGCGCATTAATCAACAATTTGAACAGTTGTTTTATGAAGCTTGTTTTACAAAGTTGACATGCATATGACCGTTGCGGAGTTTCAAATGAGTTGCAGGATGCTTTATATCATGCAACTCAAGCACAATTTGGTTTCATGTAGGTTTCAAGCAACTAAAGTTGCATGAAAGTTTCGCCATGTAAAGCCAGCCTTTGAGTCAAGCTCTGTCGAAAGGACTTTGTTATGAAACCTCTGTAGGTTCTGAACTTACTCTGACCTACAGAACTGAACAAAGGGGAACCTTCAGAGTGTTTAATACTGTACGACATATTTCAAGGATCAACATTTTCTACAGAATTCGGCAGAGATGGAGTCATACGAGTCACAGTATTTAAGAAATAAGTGAACTTTACTGAACTTAAGAAAAACGTGTATGACTGCTGTCAAGGTCAACAAGGTTTTGTTCAATGAATTCAATACAAATATCACTCAATCACCTTTAACAGAATAAACTGCCGCAGAAACACTGTGACCTTTGCTACCTTTACTTTCCTTCCATTTCTCTTGACACTTACACAAAGGTGTTCACTTTTTCAAGCCAGCAGTGTCTTTTCTTCAAAGTGAGGGAGAAGGCATTTCCAAAAACCTTGCTTTGTGAGGATTTATTTCACATCTGAGAGCCGTGACAACCAGATCTCAGCTCATCCTGGACCAAAAGAGAACATAAAGTCTGCACCCAAACAGCTCAGGGCACCAGTCAGGTCTTTCATCAGGGCTGTAAAATTCTGAATCGAAATCGAAAATTGGTTAAAACTGAAAAAGAGGATTTGATATGGATGGCTAGAGCTCTGAATTGGTACAAAGAAGGAAAACAAAAACAGAAATGTATTAATATTTAATCATTTTGGACCAAATAATGTAGAATCTCTGTTACTGACTAATAGCACTGAGCCTTATTTATGAGCCGTTCTTAAGTCTGCGTTCAGACAGCGGGACAATTAAATGCAAAAAATCCATATCTAAAAAGCTAGGAATGCGACTGTGACAAGTTTTGTAAAGCAGAGATGGATCAGAGTGGATCTTTATGGCTGAGAAGTTTGACACCAGATCGCACATCACAATTGGGCCCAACTCCATTTCTTATTTTTACCCCTACCCCTTGTTTTCGAGGGTCACCTTGCCCTTTTGGAACTGAGTTACAGGGTAGTGGCTGAAATCTTCCTCTGAAATGAGACCCTCAAATAAAAAGAGCATCACTTCATTAACAGCTACCAGCGCTGCTCTGTAGGCGACCCTGCCAGTCTGCAGTGACAGCAGAGGAGGGTAAAGTTCAGCTCCTCACTGCTGGGCTTTAGTTACATTTAGGGATCATATGCCTTCAAAGAGGGGGGCAATTATTTATTATCACCCCCCCTAATTCTTCAGTGATATGAAGCTGAAGTCAGAATGCAACTGCTGAATCATTTCAGGTGTAACAGGAAATTTAGCTAGCTACAGAGACGTCAGCACTACTGGCGATTTTTATGCTTGTTATGAAGAAAAGGACCATAATACATTGAAACAACATTAAACTAAGATAATATGATGGTTATTGTGATTTTTCACAGAGAAAATTCTCATATTTGTGGGTTTCTTTGGTCTCTTGTTCTCCATCTTACCGGTTTTTCTTTTTTCCTCATATCTCTCTGTTTGGAGTCTCTGAAAAACCTCCATTTGCAGAGTCATGTAGCTCTAACACTTCACCCTCCCCCTCTATCTCAACAAGAATAGGGACACCCTACCCCTAGATGTGAACATGCAAAACAGAGGGGTAGGGCTGAGTGGTAGGGGTGAGGGGTGAAATGGGACTGGGCCTAAACGTATAGACTACAGAAACTAGCACATATAGCACTTCTTTTTTGGAGGAGAAAATGTCCACCATGTTTAATTCTTCCCAATGAACCCATGAGAACTTTGAATTTTAGTTAAGTGCCACTGAATTAATATTCATCTATCCATTGTTCATCTCGTTCATCTTGCTCATCCTCTTTTTTGATTGGTTACCTTGTAAAAGGTGAAACATGATCAAAAGTTGAACATTTTGAGCTCGCAGTATTTGCGTTCTGCCGTAGGTTGTAATGGTGTTTTGGGGTGAAATATGTTGTGTTCAGTTGGAGACACACATTTTGTGCTACTTTTAACACAGAATGTGTTGAAATATTTCTGTGCCCAGTTATAAATAACACATTTTGTGTTATTCATAACAAGGAATGTGTTAAAACAGAAAATAATATGACACAAAAAGTGGTGAAAGAGGTAACACAAGTAAGCGTGTTGTTATTTAACGCATCATTTTTAGATTGTATACTCAGTCCTGGGATTTGAAACCACGACCTTCTGGTTGCGGTTCACCTCACCTACTAGGCTACGGGCCACCTTAGCCAGTGTTCCGTGATTGGTGTTGTTATATTGTCGCCAACTGAAATGTCAAATTGCAATCTGAGCCTTCCAGTCACTGCCTGGCATGCCAGCGTTTTGAGTCCTGTGTCCTGGTTTTGTGAGTGTGGATTTGTCCACTCTGAACCGGCCTGCTGTGTTCTGACCCGAACCTGTCAGCAAAATAAACTCTGCTTTGTATTCCCATCATTTACAGCAGAAATCACCATTCCTCCAGCACTAACAGTGTGGACTGCTGTCGGCCTCTTTAGTAGACCTCTTACCTTCCACTGAAGCTCGTTTGGGCAGGATGGTGATGGCTCCTTCAGCCACCTGCTCCTGCTGGATCACCGGGGAGATTTTGGAGCCCCAGCTGTCCGACCCCACCCACAGGAAGTGCCCTGTCTGGTTGCTTCGTTTTGCAGCATCCAGGACTCGCCTGAGGAGGAAAAAGACATACCTGAGGCTGAAAGATTTATCATTTTTATATCAAAATTGCAATTTTTAAATCTCAAGAGCTTAAATTGTCTTAATCTTAATCTTAAATTGTAGACTACCGTTGTCTTAAGTTTTAAATGGGGAAATGTACCTTATAACACAAAGCTTTGAACTGCCTGTAGATGAGTTAGACCAATCAGAGGCAACCTAACATCCATATGTTGTGACATCACAACCACAACTAACTGGAAGTCTGGCTCACTACATTCAGAGGTCAAGCCTCAAGCCCAAAAAGGTGAATATTCTTGGGAAATAAAAACATGTCTGAACATTACTTTATAGAAAATTGTTGCAGTTAAAATCGCAGTCAAAATATTAGTCTAAAAAAACGCAATTAGATATTTTTCCCAAAAATTCAAAAATTTTTCGGCCTTAAATAAATCAGCATGAAAAAGCTTTCATCACTTATGCAGCTGTATGTAAACCTTTGGGAACCTCTGGCCAAATTACATACTTTGTTTGTTTTTTGAAGTGAAAAGAAGTAACCACAGCAAACTTTTCAAAAATGTTAATGCTCAGTTACTTTAAATTTGATTCATTATAGAAAAAACAGAACAGTAATTGTGACGTTCCAAAGTTTGGATACCTCAGAGTCTCAGAACTCTTTAAGCTTTTAATTGATTCGTTAGGAATGTTCAGGCAGGCTAAGCATTGTCATTAGGAACTGTCAGTTGATGACAATTCCAGAGTGTAATAAAATCAAACCTTGTGGTAACACTAACAACCACGAGCTCCTCTAAGCAGCTGGCTGAGTATCTGAAAATGAAGTTTACTGATGCCTACAAAGCAGGAGAGGGCTAGAGTTGCTCATATGCTCTCCAGAAATGCCAAGCAAAACCCCCACATGACAGCAAAGGACCTGCAATAAGGTTTAGCTAAGACAGTAGTGGTATGCAAAACAACATTTTGCCAGAGCTATTTTGGAAACGTGCTCTGAACTGATAAAGTAATAAAGGAACTATTTGGCCACAATCGCCAAAGATATGTCTGGAGCAAAAAAAGAGCAGCATCTGATGAAAGGAACAACATGTTAATTCTTAGTGGTGGATCTATTATGCTTTGGGGTTGTGTAGCAGCCAGTGGAACAGGAAACACTACACAGGTATATAGAAGAATGGATTCCACTAAATACCTTTACAATAAAGACGTTCATTCAAGTGTGTTATTATACTTTTCAAACTAAAAATAGTGAGCATGCTTTCAGTCTAATTTCAGAGATATACCTAACAGAATTATACTTAAGTTGGCTTATACTGACAAGTGTACAGAAAAGTTTAAGTACATCTGGCCTGTACTTGTACTTATACATACTGTATACTTGTATATACTTATGGCATGTACTTGTAGTGTACTTTCACGAACAAAAAGCTGGGATGAAAGTATATAACTAGCTAACTAACAGTTTACCTATAAGTTGACTTTTAGTATAGTTCAAAGTAGGGGTTGCAGGGCTTGTTGGACAGGGCACTTCACGCTCTACTGACCTGTGGAGTTTGGCTTCGTCACTGTTTTTTAAAGTCAGATTTTAAAAGTTGCTTGTTGCAAAGCATTCACTTCTCCTGTGATTTTATTCATTATGAAATCAATGACTGGTCAGCGTCAACTTGAATTTCAGCACATGACTGTGGCCTAGTTTACACTACACTGTTAGAATAAAGGTTCTGTGCAGTTACATTTCTCGTTCATCAAGGTACAAACAGTGTAAATGTTCCCTCAAAGCTCCAACAGTGGTTTTAAGGTCTGATTGTGAACCTTAAATAAGTGTTTCCAGGTGAAAAGTTCGTATTTGTACCTTTTCATAACCGAATGTTTTAAACAGAACAGTAAAATAAAAGCCTGGAGACGAGACGGGGTGTGTGGAGTCAGTACAGCTTAGAACATATCATTTCAGTACAAAATGTAAACTAGTTGTGTACTCAAAGTTCACTACTTTTACACCTGAAGAATAATTACAAGTATACTTCCAATTTTATCCCAGGAAGTATTGAAATAGTACACTCACAAGTATACTACTAATACATGGATATTAGTATACTTACTACAAAAAGCATGCTTGGCAAAAATACTTGAACTTTGCTTAAGTTTACTTTTTTTGTAAGGGTATCAGCAAATTCTGGAAATGTGACACAGTCAAGTCCAGAAACTGAAGCTGGAAAAAGGCTGGCTTCTACAACAGGACGATGATTTAAAATATACCTCAGAATCCATCACTGAATATCGGTGTATAGATCTTAAACATGCTGTGCATGCAGGGCGGCCCAAGGATATCTCAGAACTAGAAGTGTTCTGTAAGGAAGTTTGGATAAAACTCCTAAAAAAACAGAAAGACTCCTAGCTGGCTAGAAAAAGCGATTGCAAGCTGTGATATCGGCCAGATGTGATCTTACAACGAGAACATCTGGGGACAACCATGACAAACTTTGTGCTATGTGGGAGATTGTAGGGTGGAAACAAACTGAGTGTAGAATTTTTAAAACAATCCAACCAGGCATTTTAAACGTGCGGGTGACACAGTTGTCAGTAAGTAGTGGACTGTGTTAGCACATTTTCCAGATTCCTCATCATTTGTAACCCTTCCTGCTCAAATCATTCCCTAAATTGCACATCCACAATATCAAAAACTCAGCTCTGTAGCGCTCAGATGGGACACGTACAACAATGTTATGTTTGAAAAATCATTAGAGTCGTTGGCCAAGAATCGAGCCCAACTCTCAGTTGCCTCTGAGTCAAAGAATCGACTCTTTTGAAGTCAACACCACATCACTAGTAGCGGTCACTGTATTTCTGCATTCAAGCAAACCATCCCAAAAAATGTGAGTGCACCTGAAGTAGCAATAAATGAACACATCCTACTACAAACCTTTTAGTGCCAGCTCCATATACACGGTGATAGTCCAAAATTAATCTTACAAACTTTGAAGCTATGTAGTTATTTAACAGCACAATCCGCTTCAAGAATACAAACCTATGGTGTTCAGGAACGTGGGAAGTTCATAACAATAAAACATTCTGAACTTTATAATAATTTAAGCATAGTTAAGACCCATGTGTGCATGTTATAGCGCAGAGTTTGTATTTTTTCATTTTCTAAATCTGCAATAGCACTGCTTTGTTTAACCCTCTGGGGTCGCCGATGCACTGGTGCATCAAATTAGATGTTACTTGACATTTCTATTAATATTTTTGCGATAATCCAGCACAGAAATCCAGTTCAGACACTTCCTGAATCTGTAGAGTCACCCTTTCCATTCCGTCTTATCTCGAGATCATACGAGACTCACATCCGGAGTTATGAGCCTATGAAGAGGGGCTGAGATACACGTCATCTGCCTCTCACCGTGTGGAACTGGTGGATTCGTGTGTCCGTCTACATTCTGTGTGAAACTGACCGATAGACACTCAGTAAATCACTAAGGACTGACCATCATGTTGAAAACATGTTTTGGAAAGTAGTGATGAGGAGAATATTTGCAGTATGTAAATCTATTCTAGTAGACCAAAAAATATAATTATGAACATTGTAAAGGAGCGTACCAGGTCCATTAGGTTCACAGGGGACACATATCAGTGAGTCGAAATAAATGGAAATGCCCACTACCATGACTACGTGTGCATCAGTGCATGCACAAGCTTACGGCACAAAATAATCAGCCGTAACTATTGGCTGTAATTCCAAAATCGGCCCAATGATAATAATTACATTTTCCCGATTAACAGTGAATATGAGAAGCTGGTATGTCACGCACCCCCAATCACAAACAGCACCATCTTTAAAGATTATATATTCCGCAGAACGAAAGCGCCCCACCTCCTCTATCACTCTAAAGACTTAGACGTCTTATCTCTCTGGTCCCCTCTGTGTGCAGAGACACTAAAGCACCTCACAAAGCTCCGCACAGCTCTACCTGAGGGAGTGGATTACATAAGCAGCTCAGCAGAGCTCCACAGGCCCCGAGCTGAGAGAGGAAATGAGAACGTTCCTCTCGCTGCGGGCACAGGAAGGCCTTGCTTCGTCCTCGGCCCTTTAGTCTAGCTTTTACTTCGCTCCGTGCCTTCACATGGACGAGATACAAGTGGCCATTTAGATAAAGAGGGGACTTGAGTAATGGCCACTAGGAGACAGGGCACTCAAGGAGAGAGAGGTGCAGCATTAATGGAGGCAGAATTGTTATCTCTTGTTTTGTTTTGTTTTTTTTTTCTACTCCACTCGCTCTATCTCTTCCTATCGCTCCTCTAATGCACTCCCTGCTATTCTCTCTCTCTCGCTCTCTCTCTCACCCACTCTCTCCCTCTTTGTCCTTTCACCTGCACTCCTTCGGCTCTGCAGTGCACTCTTATTTGATTGAACGCACCTGATGTCGTCTTCATTCGCAAACATGATGATGGCGCGGGCGTTGGGGGTCTCCAGCAAACGCACGATTATCTTGTTGAATTCCCCCGGCCGCGGCTCCCGCGGGATCTTCAGAGACTGAGCGATGCACACCCCACCTGAGAGAGAGAGAGAGAGAGAGAAAGAGTTTTACATTAACTGTAATAAATCGCACATCAACACTTGTTACACCATTAACACTACAATTCCCACACTGCCTACAGCACCTCCACCAAATACAAACACGGAATATCACACACACAGCCAGCTCATCATTAACCATCAGCCACCATACAGTAGCGGCTGCACAGACTTTACTGCTCGGCGAGGACACTTTAATCTTGACGTCTACATAGATGTCTGGAGATTTCAGGGTCTGTATCTCTGGTTTGCCGGAAGGCAAGCAAAGCGATCCAGGGCTTGTTGGAAAGGGCACCTCGCGCTCTACTGATCTGGAGAGTTTGGTTTCATTCTTACATTTCTTGGCCGATCTACAGAGCTTCAAAGATCAGATGCTGAACATCATTATCTCCTGGTTCCCTAAGACTACAATAAAAGTCCTGTGTGGTTGGAGAGGGGGCATAACGCCCTGTAATTCTGTAAAGTTTAAACATCGGTCACTTTTACTTTCGCCAAATCATAGCACTCTGAATTCCCCTGGCTCTCTGGATCTCCACTACGGGTAAGCATCTCGGCAGGGCCACCTAGGGTGCGCCTAAGTCGGATACACATTTGCGAGATTTCAGATAACAGATAATGACCATTGTGATCTCTGGTTTCCCGAAGACTACAATAAAAAGTCAGGCATGGTTGGAGAGGGGGCACAATGCCTTGTAATCCTGTGAAATCTGACCATTGGATAATCTTATTTTTGCTGAGTTATGGCGCTCTAAATTTCTCTGGCTCTCTGGACCTCCACTGTCAGAGAGCGCCTCGACAAGGCCGCCTAAGTTGGATACAAGTACTAGCAACGCCATCCAGGGCTCATTGGAAAGAGTGCATCACACTCGACCTTTGGAGTTTGGCTTCATTCTATCATTTCTCAGCTGATCTACAGAGCTTCAAATATCAGATACTGAACGTCATTATCTCTCACCACTATAGAAAGTCTTCTGTGGTTGGAGAGGGGGCAAGTTTAAATGCTGGTTACTCTTATTTTCACAGACTTATGGCGCTCTAAATTTCTCTGGCTCTCTGGACCTCCACTACGCTTGAACATCTCTGCAAGACCACCTAGGGTGCACCTAAGTCAGATACACGTTGCAAGATTCTGGGGTCCATAGCTTCGGTTTCCTGAAGGCTAGCAATGTGATCCAGGACTTGTTGGAAAGGGCACATCACACCCTACTGTGGAGTTTGGCTGTGTTCTAAGGTTGTCCTGCTAATCTACAGAGCTTCAAACATTAGATATTGAGTGCCATTCCCTCCAGTCTCCCGAAGACTACAGTAAAAAATCGTTGTGGTTGGAGGGAGAGCTTAACACCCTGTAATCCTGTAATGTTGTTGGTTACTCTCATTTTTGCTGAGTTATGATGCTCTAAATTTCTCTGGAACTCTCAACAAGGCCGGCTAGTGTGTGCCTAGGTCAGATACAAGTACTAGCAATGCCATCCAGGGCTCACTGGAAAGAGAGCATCACGCTCTACTGACCTTTGGAGTTTGGCTTCGTTCTATCATTTCTCTGCTGATCTATAGAGCATTAAATATCAGATATTGAACGTCATTATCTCTGACTGCACAAAAAGTCGTGTGTGGTTGGAGAGGGGGGGCCGTAACGCCCTGTAATCCTGTAAAGCCTGAATTTCAGTTTCTCTTACTTTCACTGAGTTATGGCATTCTAAATTTCTCTGGCTCTCTGGATCTCCGCTGTGGATGGGCCTCTTGGCAAGGCCACCTAAGGTGCACCTTAGTCGGACACAAATCAGTGAAATTTCAGGGTATATATTCCGGTTTCCTGAAGACTAGCAAACATCCAGTGCTCACTGAAAAGGTACATCATGTTTTACTGATCTGTCAAGTTTGGCTTCTTTCCACTGATCTGCAGAGCTTTAAAGATCAGACAGTGAACGCTGTGATCTCTGGTTTCCCGAAGACTGCAATAAAAGGTCGTGTGGTTGCAGAGGGGCATAACGCCCTGTAATCCTGTACAGTTTGAACGTCAGTGGTCAGTATTATTTTAGCTAAGTTACACTGCAGGTGAGCATCTCAGCAAGGCTGCCTAGGGTGAGCCTGAGTTGGATACAAGTTGTGAGATTCTGGGGTTTTTATCTCTGGATCCCTGAAGGCCAGCAATGCGATCACATTCCACTGATCCGTGGAGTTTGGCTTCATCACAGATTTTAAAGTTTCTTTAAAAGAGAAAGACAGAGAGAGGAGGAAAAGGACAGGAAAGAGGGAACAAATTTAAAGAGATAGAGAAAAAAGAAATGAAGAGAAAGAGAAAAAAGTGACAGAGAGAGAGTAAAGAAGTAAAGACAGCAAGAGAGAGAAGGAGAGAAAGACAGAGCGCAAGAAGAGAGAGAGCGGGAGAATGAGTAAGAGAGAGAAAGTAAGGGGAGTGAGAGAGAGGAAGAGAGAGAGGAATAAGAAACAGAGAGAGAGAGGAATGAGAGAGAGACTGAGAATAGAAAACATAGAAATAGAAACTGAGAATCACTTCCTTCTTTCATGTTCAAAATATAAAACCATCAGAGACGCTTTTCTGCCCAAATTTACTAATAAAACCCCCTCCTTCCCCAAACTGACCGACTCCTTCCCCAAACTGACCGACTCAGAGAAAATGAAAATTTTACTGGGAGAAAATGTAGAAACAATAAGTTTAGCAGAACAGTTTATTCAGAACTGCCACAAGATCAGAGAAGAAAATGTAACATAACACTTCAGTTATGTAATTAATATTTCTAATTCCTGATGTTCAAAATGTATTACATTTTTCATATGAACCTTGTTTGTTTTATTTATTTATTTATTTTTAATTATTATTATTATTATTTTATTGTATTTTATTTTATTACATTTGGCATGTCCATACTCATTCTATGCTTATATGTATTACCATATTTATTTATTTATTTATTTTTTTCCCCTATTTATTTTCTATTCATTTTTTTTCCTATTCATTTATATTTTAATAATAATTCAATTTAAGATGTATTTACAGCTTTGGCAACATAGGTCTTATATCCTGTCATGCCAATAAAGCATATTTGATTTGATTTGATTTGATTTGATTTGAGAGAGAGAGAGGAATGACAGAGAGAGAGAGAGAGAGAGAGAGAGAGAGAGAGAGAGAGAGAGAGAGAGAGAGAGGAATAAGAAACAGAAAGAGAAAGAGAGGAATAAGAAACAGAAAGAGAAAGAGAGGAATAAGAAAGACAGAGAGAGAGAGAATTAAGAAACAGAAAGAGAGAGAGAGAGAGAGAGAGAGAGAGAGGAATAAGACACAAAGAGAGAGAATTAAGAAACACAGAGAGAGAGGGAGAGAGAGAGAGAGAGAGAGAGAGAGAGAGAGAGAGAGGGGGATAAGAAACAAAGAGAGAATTAAGAAACACAGAGAGAGAGAGGGAGAGAGAAAATTAAGAAACAGAGAGAGAGGGAGAGAGAGAGAGAGAGAGAGAGAGAGAGAGAGAGAGAGAGGAATAAGAAACAGTGAGAGAGGAATGAGAGAGAGAGAGAGAGAGAGAGAGAGAGAGAGAGAGAGAGAGAGAGAGAGAGAGGAATAAGAAACAGAGAGAGAATTAAGAAACAGAGAGAGAGGGGGAGAGAGAGAGAGAGAGAGAGAGAGAGAGAGGTAGAGTGAGCTCAGTGAGACAGTGATGAGCCGCTGTAGTAAGAACAGGTGAAAACGGTAAATGTTTAAATGGGGCTTTAATCATTCAAACAGCTCCTCAGTCATTTCGGGGCTCCAGTCTAAATGATTTATCCTGAACTTAATAGAGTAAAATTACACAAACAGGGCCTGACGGGCCATACTGGGTTGGACAGAGCCGTAGATCATATTTGATGTACGCTATAATATCAGACTGTCCTCCCCCGGGGGCTCTATTATACCATTACTGTCCTGAGCTGGGATGAATGATGGACCTCCTACTGCCTCTAACGGAACCTTTTCCAGGTTACAGTCCACTTAATGAGCATCTGTGGCTACTTCACTGCTCTGACTCCATGCATGTAATCAGGACAATGTTATTCAGACATTCTGTCCCAACAACAAATAGTAATTAGCCCCAATTAATGTCCCATTCGAGATTAATCTGCAGTCTGTTACCCATGTACCACCCAGTCTCCTCCCCACTCGTCACGCATTTGTATGAGCCATAGAACGGCTGTGATTCGGTCACAACCTCCAATTTATATCCATTTTCTGCAAAAAGTAGAGCAAAGAACCCCCAAATATTGTATCAGAGCTTTACCCATCTGGGGTCCAGGAACTTAACCGTGCATCAAATCCTCTGTCTCTGTATCTGTTTGTGTATCTTTGTGATGATCCAGCTCAGAAATCCAGTTCAAACACTTCCTGAATCTGTAGAGTCGCCCTTTCCATTCCATCTTATCTCGAGATCATACGAGACTCACATCCGGAGTTATGAGCCTATGAAGAGGGGCTGAGATACACGTCATCTGCCTCTCACCATGTGGAACTGGTGGATTCGTGTGTCCATCTACATTCTGTGTGAAACTGACCAACGGACACTCAGGAATTACTAAGGACTGACCGACACACCGGAAACCCTTCATTCTTCTTGTCAAGTGAAATGATCTCAAATCTAGTCCAGTCCATCCGTCCATCCATCCATCATCTAAACCGCTTATCCTTCTGGGTCGCGGTGGGGTGCTGGAGCCTATCCCAGCTGTCATTGGGTGGAAGGCAGGATACACCCTGGACAGGTCGCCAGTCCATCGCAGGGCATCAAATCTAGTCAATATATCTAATATTTCCCATTTTGAGCTGGTTTTGCACTTATTATAATATTATGTAGCTTATCTCTAGACATTATTTACTTGTTTTAGGTAATTAAGTCAAGCACATTTTTAAAACGAGCAAAATAATTTGCCAAATTAGTGAAATACTTTTACTTAATTAAATTACTTAAAACAAGTAAATAAGAAGGTTAGATGT